GTTTTCGGCCCAGTTTGGAGACCTCAGGACCTACCAGAAGGGATCCGGTCCTCTATGGTAGTGTGCTGTCAGAGGTGCTGCAGAGGTTTTGGGAGTCTGAAGAGCGCCCACGGCGGACAGACGGAAGCCAGAGGATGACGAGTGCGAGTTGTTCTATCAATACAACACTGCGAGATGCCCGTCAGGCAGATTCGTGACCAGGCTACCTTTTCTCCCAAACCGCCCCGCTTTAGGTAGTTCGCGACAGCTCGCGGAACGGAGACTACTCGGAATGGAGCGGAAGATGAGGCGAGACCCAGCACTTCGGCAGAAGTATATAGAATTCATGCGGGAATATATTCAATTGGGCCACATGTCGGTGTCCAGCCTGGATTGGAGGTGTGTCGAGCATTATTACATTCCACACCTGGCTGTCTTGAAGTCACCTGAGGCGAAAATACGGGTGGTGTTTGACGGTTCTGCTCCTACCTCGAATGGTGTGTCTGTGAACCAATGTTTGCACGCGGGTCCTAAATTGAACCGGGACATTGTGGACATTCTCACAGACTTTCGGTTACACCAGGTAGCGTTCGTCGCAGACGTCAAAATGATGTTTCGCCAAACCATGATACATCCGGATGACCGTCGGTATCAGCTGATTTTGTGGCGTGAGAGCCCAGATGAGCCGATGGTCACATACGAACTTAACACGGTGACGTATGGACTTAAGCCAAGTCCGTATTTGGCAGTACGTACGCTGCGAGAGTTGGCCGCACAGGAAAGGGTAAGATATCCTCGAGCCGCAGCAGTACTGGATCGCGACGTCTACGTGGACGATATCTGCACGGGTGCTGATAGCGTGGAGCAGGCGCTAATTCTACGAGACGAGCTGATCGCGATCATGGGTTCAGGAGGTTACGAGTTGCGGAAATGGTTGTCCAGTTGCCCAGAGCTCCTGGCTGGTTTGCCAGGTGAGTTCCATCAGGACCCGCACCTCTTTGAGAACCCGGACAATCCAAATACGTTGGGCATCCTCGGGGTGCAATATAGGCCAACGCATGACGTATTCACGTACAAGATCGAGCCCGACCTTTTGGAGAAAACTTGGACTAAGCGGTCGGTACTGTCGACAATCGCTAGAACGTTCGATCCTAACGGATGGATCGCCCCGGTTACGTTCATGGCGAAGTGCTTTTACAAAGGTTGTGGCTAGCCAACTTAGGATGGGACGACCAACTCTCCGGAGAGTTGTTGAAGGATTGGCTCAAGTTTGTGACCACCTTACCAGGGATTGTGCACATCGCGATACCCCGCAAGTTAGTCCCATCGGTGGGATGTAAGGCTACCCTACATGGGTTTTGTGACGCCTCGGAGCGAGGGTACGCGGCAGCTGTATACCTTCGGACAGCAAGTTCAACGGGAACTGTGCACGTGCGTCTGGTTATGGCCAAAAGTAAGGTGGCACCAGTCAGAACTAGATGGACCATCCCCAAATTGGAATTGGCAGGGGCAGCTCTTCTAGCGCGCTTGCTAAATCATGTAACCTGCAATCTGCGTGGTACCATCAACTTGGATGAAACGGTGTACGCGTGGACTGACAGTCGGATAGTTCTGTGCTGGTTGCAGACGTCGGTACATACACTTGAGGTTTTCGTGGCAAATCGGGTGTCACAGATTACGGGGTCGGAAACTCCGTTAGTGTGGAGGCACGTACCGGGAGAATGGAACCCAGCGGACTGCGCTTCGCGCGGGTTCAGGGCCCCTGATTTGGTGAGTCACCCACTGTGGTGGGGACCTCAATGGCTGACTGAGTCGCCGCAGGAATGGCCATTCAACGAGTGCAGGGCGCCGCTTGGGCCACCTGATCGAGGTTTGCGAGTGAACGTGGGGCAACTCGTACCGAAGCCTAACCCAGCTTTCTTGCTGGAACGGTATAGCTCCCTCGACAAACTTCTTGGGGTGACAGGTTGGATCAAACGGTTCGTGAACAACTGCAGGAAGCCTCAAGCAGAACGGAACTTTACACCTGTCCTCTCGCCTGCGGAACGGAATGCGGCTCTATGCTCATTAGTTAGAGTCGTCCAGGCGGAACATTTTGAAGAGGAGGTCAGGCTGCTCAGGGATGGACGTGGAAAGCTGAAGGGAGGAATTGTGCGCCTCAACCCATTCCTGGATGAGCAAGGTATGCTCAGGGTTGGAGGCAGACTTCGGAACGCTAGCCTGCCCTTTTCGGCTCGGCATCCACTGTTACTTCCAAAAGGGGACCCTTAGTTGAGCTCTTAGTCAGGGATCGTCATGAAAAACTCGCACGCGGGCTGTAATGCGCTATTGGCCATCCTACAGCGCGAGTTCTGGATCTTATCGGGACGACGAACGGTACGTAGCGTTGTGTTTAGGTGCTTGCCTTGTTACCGCTTGAAGGCAGCCACAATGCAGCCACAGATGGGAGATCTCCCACCGGACCGGGTGACGGAGGCCTGGACGTTTGCAGGTGTGGGAACGGATTTTGCAGGCCCTTTCATGGTAAAGGCATCACGCCTACGGAACGCAAAGTCTATCAAGGCGTACTTGTGCGTGTTCGTGTGCCTAGCCACCAAGGCCGTCCACTTGGAGCTCGTGGCCGACCTATCTACGGAGGCCTTTTGGCAGCGCTGGAGAGATTTACGTCGCGACGAGGGCGACCAGCGCTGATCAGGTCGGATTGTGGTACCAACTTTAAGGGTGCTGATCGGTGTATGAAAGAAATTGTAACGTTCTTACGGGAGAACGAAGAAGCCATCAGCACGGGCCTCTCCCGTCAGGGCATTACCTGGGTGTTCGATCCACCAGCGTGCCCTCACTGGGGTGGTATTTTTGAAGCGGTTGTAAAGTCCGCTAAGACGCATTTGTTGCGCGTCGTAGGGTTAACAATTTTGACTTTTGAGGAGCTGGCGACCGTGTTTTGTAAAATTGAGGCTGTACTCAATTCACGTCCTTTGTGTCCGCTCAGCTCAGACCCAAATGATTTAGAGGCCCTGACGCCAGGGCATTTCTTAATTGGCCGCCCACTTAACGCCTTGCCGGAATATCCCTATACGGAGGTGAATAGCAATCGTTTGTCGCGTTATCAGTTGCTGCAGCAAATGACTCAAAACTTTTGGAAGCGTTGGTCGCTTGAGTACTTGCACATTCTGCAGCAACGCCTTAAGTGGACGGACAGGACTGAACCCCTGCATTGGGGATCTCGTTCTGGTTAAGGATGCCAACCTACCGCCACTGCGTTGGCGCCGGGGCGCATTCTCAACCTGTTTCCGGGTAGTGATGGCACTCCTCGAGTTGCAGAAGTTCAGGTGGGGGATTCAGTCCTTAAGCGAGCAGTAGCTACATTATCACGCCTGCCATGCATAGAGCGGACCGATGTGTCGGTCCGGGGCGGGTGAATGTTTAGTTTCGTATCAAAAACGGTTTCGTACCTTTTGAGCGGACGGTGCTGGCAACACTTTTCGGTCCGCCCCGTCTGTCATCTTTACGCTAGCGTTGTTGAAGCGAATTTTAGTTTTAAGTGGTGTAAAATTAAGGTGTTTTGGCGGTTTTCTCGTGTGCTATTTGCCACAAGCCATGGCTTCCTGTGCGGTGGGAAGTGAACCAAGTGAATTTTGGTTTCGGCTTTTGATTGAGGCCAACGTGGTCGCCGGTAACATAACCTCACTTTGAGTCGTCGCTCGTCGTCGTCGTGGCTGCCGATAGCTACGTATTTTAATTATAAATGATTGGAGGCCAACGGGGCCGATTTCTCATTCGGAGAAATCTTTTAGTTATTTTGTGTTAAAAACATTATGTGATGTCGAACTGTGAACTGTAGTGCAAATTGGAGGATAGGAGTTCTAGAACGAGCGGATGTTCCAGCGCTGTGAGTTTAGGTTATTCCTATTCCTGCGCTCCTAAAATATCCTGAATACCTGATTCCTGTCATACTTAAACTCACAAAGAAACGGCATCATCGTTTGCTCGGTAAGCAATTCGTTGCTGGGCCCTGTTTAAGTAGATTTTGGAAACAAGAATTTCTCGGCCGGAAACTTTCCGGAACAAAATTCTCTCATTAAATTTATTTTATTTAGCTATAGTAAAGAGCACTACGAATCGTAGTCAAATGTTGTTCCGAGGCTGATCGACCATTTAGTTTTAGATTTTAAGATAACTTTAATTTGCTTCCACTGCGCTAAGATCAGCTTCGGAATCAAACACTTTGGACCACTTAAAACCTGTATATCTAAAGTAACCCGCAAGTACAGCGTTCAAAATACAACTTTACACCTTACGTTGAGAATGCATACTTGGGCGTGGGGTCTCGTTCGCCGTAGGCTGTGCACGCGTGGGGCACCTTGCCCACGTCTCGTACTAGAAGCGACATCCGCTTGTGGTACTTGAGCTGCGCCACCGCTTCGTCATGCGATAATCTACCTCTAGGGCTGCAATTGCGGACTATTTTAAGAATGCTTCTCTTTTTAACAAAAGCTCATGCAAATGGTAGCATTTTCGGAAATAAGGATGTTTAGAATCGATATTATTTCTTTGGATCACTTAAACCCTGCATTAATATCTAAAGTAACCCGCAACTACAGCGTTCAAAATACAACTTTACACCTTACGTTGAGAATGCATACTTGGGCGTGGGGTCCCGTTCGCCGTAGGCTGTGCACGCGTGGGGCACCTTGCCCACGTCCCGCACTAGAAGCGACATCCGCTTGTGGTACTTGAGCTGGGCCACCGCTTCATCGTGCGTTACGTCCACGAAGGACTGGCCGTTCACTTCTAGGATCTGGTCTCCAACCTGCAGAGACGAAAATTGATTTGTGTGTATTTTAAAATGAAAATTGATTTGTAAACTATGAGGTCATGGTTTAGATTTTAATAGCAATTACTGATTTTTTACAAAAAATAATGTGAATATCGTTTTGTTTCGTATCGTTCGTATTTTCATTAATATTGCCACGTTTGGCATTATCTAGATAGGACGCTTGTTGTAAAACTTGCAAAATTTTCACCGCAGGCACGATTTGAACATGCGACCTTCGGCATCAGTACTGCCGACGACGCCCTAACCAACTTGGCTACCGCGGTTCTAATCGAACCCGCGAAATTAAGCAAGTACATCTTGTCCACTATCGCGTGGATGTTTTGCAACTAATTCCAAGCGACTAATTCATTCTTTACAGATTGAATGTAGTCAAAGCGATGAAAACCCGCGGTAAAAAATTGTTTACCTAACACGAGAAGTGTTTTAAAATTTAGTATTCAACGCTTGTTGTATTTTTTACATATACTTCTACTTCTACCAATATTTTATAGAATCATGCGTAATCCTTTAAATTAGGAAGTAACGACGTGTAGAAGCTATATAAAATCATAATTTAAACCCAAAAACCAGGAAGGTATACCTACCTCTAACCTGATTAACCGTACCTATATTGGACATACTTGAAAATTTCCGCAATATCGAAGCCTGATTAAAATTTCTGAACTAAATCCGATACATTACATGGTTGGCGCTGTAATGAAAATTCTTCGAGAATTGTTGGCGAAAGTTTTTAAAGCAAGTTATTAGGTTAGCTGCGGGCGGGGCTCAAACTCAAACACTATAAATTTCCAACCACACTTCGCCTCGGGGCGTTTTCACTCGAAAACACGCCTAGAAAATGTAATGAAAAATGGACCTGATGGAAGGTAATGATAGCTTGCATTTAGTAAACATTTCACTATTATAAATTTACGCCTACTAGAGAACGTAGGAAGGCCGTTCGAGAATTCAACCTACACAAAAGACTGCATACATTTTAACATTGCAGATTGTTTGGTGCGCTTAGAATGCCAGAGCCAGGTATTTTTGTTTCATTAAACAAACGAACCTTTTATTAGGTTAAATCACGAGAGCATTAAAATTGAAGTAACATTAGCTTATAAAACGAATATTTTAAGCACAAGGCAATTTTAATGTAAAGCAAACGAGAAATTTAGCACTGCAGGACAGTTGCTACAGCCCGGGGCAATTCAAAGTAGTGACTGCGCTACGACTGCCTTCAAAGTCTTGGAGACAATCCCAGACTTCTGTATCTTAATTTCTACTAGCGTCTTAATAAAAACGAAAACATTTCCAGTGAAATATTACAAAAGTACAATATGTCTGAAAACAGTATATCGTTAGACCCATCCCTAAAAATTTGTTAGTACCTAGTAGACATAACAAAATTGATTTAGGAAACTTAATTTTGTTTTAAAGTTGCGATGGTAATCGATAGTATCAAACTTATTTTACTGCTGCAATACATTGTCGTCGCAAACTGCAACTTTAAAATTTTCATTCGTTATGATTTTTTTGCACCAGCTGTGCTTAAGAGGGATCTATAGTCATTATTTTTCATACAAACGCTTTCAACGTATCCCTCTGCCAATTCGCAACCGATCGACTCAATTTTTCCCACGGTAACTCTTCTGGACTAGATCTATGCTCCATATTCTTTTTCTGGTTGTAATAATGCATTTAAAAAAAGATATGACCGTGGCAAAATGCTCTAAAATTATCACCAAGTTTACGATTTGGTATCTTCTAAATATGACAATAATTTCAGCAAAACAAATGATACGGGCATAGAATATTTTATTGGCAGCAAAATGATGCCACTATCAACAAATTTGGTGGCGATTTCGAACGGGGAACCTGGTAAACCCAGAACGCAAATTTTCCGGTAGCGAGCTATAACTGTCTCTTTTACGGCTGCGGGACGGATGGGTTGCATAAATGAGATAGAAATATTTTTATCAACTGACAGCTCACGAACTTCCAGCTCGGTATAGTAGCCTCTTAACACTCGATCAATATAAACAGAAAAATACAACTAAGTATTAAAGGTAGGTAGGTATGAAGCGATGCTCTAGGGAACTAGGAAGAGCACAGATGAAACTCCAAACTTAAATTGCTACGTAATTGTGGAGAAGTAGTGCGGAATTAAATTTTCAAGGAAACTAAGATTCTACTCGAACCTAGGCTAGGAAAATGTAAGTTACAAAACATTTCAGTTGTTATTTTATGTCTTGTTTAATTTTTGGAAAATGTAAGTACTGGTGCGCAAAGAAAGGTACAAAACTGTTTCATTCATTACATACATAATATACATTATATCACGCCTATATCCCTTGGGGACAGGCAGAAAGAACGGTGGTTTTTCACTCGATAATTCTGATAAAAGTGTGAGAGTCACTGGGAAGATTTCCACCACAGTGACTAGTTGTCAGCATGTCGCCTAAAATTGCAACATCAACTCTCAAATCTTTATACGCTTCTTACGTCACCCACGGGAAGGATTTGGAATTGGTGTGATGCCATTAAGCCGGCACCACACGGCACCTACGGAAATGTCATCAAGCTATATGCAAAACCAATTTTACTTGGGTCGGGTATGTAGATATTGTTATTGAATCCAATATAGATATTCTCATAAAAAAAGCGAAATATGCACGTCACCTTCGAGGGATAAATGAATAAAAGCACACAATGGGCCGTGTGTACCCACGGCTGACAATATTTTCAACGGCGACCTATATCGTTTGTTCGCTAGTCGAATAGAAATGATAAAACTTTGTATTGGAGCTTTTCAAACGTGGAACAGCCTTTAGGTCTCCATAAAAAATAAAATGTTCTTCATACAGGAAAGCCGCTACATGCGGTGCTTTGTTTTCATTTATACAGTCTACAATACGAGCTACAGGAAATCCCTGTAATACATACAGCATTATATTTCCATCTAGAGTCTGTTGCCTTGTTTTCACAGTCGTAATAAATTGTCCTTCCTTACATTTTTGCGTACAAGAAGAATCATTTTATTACGTAGATAGATACATTCTGCAATTTCTTTTTGTTTTAACTACAAACTACATGAAGTAGAACTTGATATCAGTGAGTTTAACATAACAGGCGAATTAGAGACGAACCCAGTGACAAACAACAGCATAATTTGTTGGAAATACAACACTTTGTACTGCACTCGCCATTCCGCATGCCAAAATGTTAAGGATAGCAAACATCCGTCATCCATCAGTGACGATCTAGCGAATCTACACTAATATAATAAAGAGGAAACCTTTGTTTGTTTTTTTGTTTGTTTTTTTGTATGTATGTAATCGATAAACTCTGAAACTACTGGACCGATTTCCAAAATTCTTTCGCCATTAGAAAGCTACAACATTCCTGAGTAACATAGGCTACTTTTTACCACGGGAAAATTCCTCATTTCCACGGGAAAACGGTTAACAGCAGGAAAAGCGGGAAATATAGCGGATATTACCCAAATTAGCAAAACCGCTTTACCGATCTCCGCGAATTTTGGCACTGATGTTACTTGCATACTAAAGACGGACATGGACTACTTTTTGTCAGCCCTCGAGGATCTGGAGTACCTGATGAAAACCACCAGCATCCCATCTAAACTATTAGAGATACGGTCATGGCTTCATAGAAAAATTTGTTCACCATGACAGGCCGCTTCTGCTGGCACATGGTAATCGAGGATCTGGAGTACCTGATGAAGACCACCAGCATCCCATCTAAACTATAAGAGATACGGTTATGGCTTCATAGAAAAAGTTGTTCACCATGACGGACCGCCTATGCTGGCACATGGTCATCGAGGATCTGAAGAACCTGATGAAGACCACCAGCATCCCATATAAACTATAAGAGATATGGTAATGGCTTCAAAGTTAAAGTTATTCAGCATGACGGGCCGCTTCTGCTGGCACATTTATCTCTGCTGGAACGGAGTAATGGACGTTTTACTACGGACAAATTCAATTACTACGGGAAAACAGGTAAGTAGCAGCGGGTGAAACCGCTGGGCGGGCCGCTAGTACTATATAAGTTGAAATACTTTCTACTAGATGTCGCTAGATTTTCGATTCAAGAAGAGCATCAAAAAGTTGAAAGATTCGCTAGGGTCCGCCAGGCGCCGCGCCAGTAGCTCAACTGGCAGAGCAGTGGGACGGTACCCCACGGTCCCGAGTTCAAGTCCCGGCCGACGCTAATGAATTTTTCAACAATTCTTATTTTCATTTAAGGCGAAATCAGTCCCAAAAAGTAAGTCCCTTTCTTTTTCACTGCGTTAGAGAGAAACAGACGATGACGCTTTATAAATTCAAAAAGGAAGAAACGGACACAAAATAAAATAGTAAATATTGAATAACAATGAAATCGTTCAGGTTTTCAGACAAAAAACGGAAAATTCGAGCTTACTTTGCGATTTTTTTCTATCGAGGCAACTTTTTCTAATCGTGTTTTGGGTCCCATAGTTTTGTAGAATATATATTATAAGAAATGGCATCGAAAATTCCGAACGCTTTCGCGGACGTTTCTGAGCTGATTTCGCCTTAAGATAATGATAAATTGACGATGATATATGAAATCCTCCTATCTACATAGGTTTTCCATTGTAGATAGGAGATTTTCATATATCATAGATCATAGTCGAAACGAAATGTTACCATGAGTCCAGCTCGGTCGGCCACGGAGTCCTTGTCGACCCCGGTGATGTAGATGCCAAGGTTGTACTCCAGCCCTCCCCTGATCATCAGCCCTAGAGACTGACCCGGCTCTATGCACAGGTCCACCTAAAACAAAGACAAATTATAAGAGTACCTGTTAAAGTAAACTCATTTTCATGTGTAAAAGTAAAATCATAGATTCATACGTACATACATATATCACGCCTATACCTATCCCTTGCGGGGCAGGCAGATAATAAACGGCTGTAAAAAACGGCCATTCACAGCTCACCTGGCAAAAGTTTGAGCGTCATTCAGAAATCTATCATAATTCGACCAAGTTCGACTACACCTACAGTGACATACTGACATGTTATTTATCAGCTTGTCACCTAAAATTGCAATACACATCAACTCTCAAATCCCTTAGGCCCAAACTCCACAGAGAGGACAAGGAAAGGACATAGGACGTAGGCATGACGCTTGACGTTTGACATCGCGACGTTTCCATACAAAATGTACGAAAAAGTATTGACAAAGGCACACACTTTGTCAATACGTTTTCATACATTTTATATGGAAACCGTTTCCAAGCGTCGCCAAAGTGTCGCGATATCAAACGTCAAGAGTCGTAGGGCATGTCCTATGTCCTCTCTGTGGAGCTTGGGGCTTAGTCGCTTCATATTCTTACGACAACCACGGGAAAGATATGGGCTGATGCTTTTCTAAGCCGGCACCACACGACAAAAGTAAATTGACTTTCAGATAATTCATATTTCATATTTATTTATTTGCAATCATATGGTAGGTTGTATAGTTGGTACAATAATCATTAAGTATCTCATACGAACCCTGGAGAGGGTACTGCAAATTTTTTATATATTAAATTAAATTATACAATACAAAGATGTTAATGCTTAAAATTAGTTATCATATAGTAATTTATGATCAAATTTATTCACATTCACAATATAGTAATAATAATAATCAAGTGCATCTATGGTCAAATAATACAAAATAAAGTTAACAAGTGGGATCGTAAGATTGAGCGTCATTGATTGATTTGTCGTTCAAGAATTCGTCTACGCTATAATAACATTTTTCCACGAGGAGTTCTTTAAGCTTCTTTTTAAATGTCCGTAGTTTTTGTTCTGACTTTATATTTTGAGGCAGTTTATTAAATATCTTTGCCGCGGTTGAATTCGGCCTAGTACCAAATTTCTTGAGCCTCGAAGGCTTCTCATGTAAGTTATTTTTCGAGCGGAGGTTGCGAGTTTGAATTTGGCCAAGTTTTATGAATAAATCTTCATTTCTCCGAACAAACAATGACATTTCAAGTATATACAACGATGGAAGAGTTAAGATATGAAGTTGCTTAAAGTGAGGTTTGCAGCTTTCAGGGCATTGTATACCAGATAGTATGCGTATACATTTTTGCATTATGAATAGGTCCTTAGCATCCGTACTCGTACCCCACAGAATCAACCCATAACGGAGCCATGCTTCTGCACTAGCGTAATAGGCTGTGAGTGCAGTCTTTAGATCGGTACATTTCTTAAGATTGTATAAAGCATATGCAAAGTTAGATATCTTTGACTTCGTAAGCATGATATGTTGTTTCCAATTTAGGTTTGTGTCGAGGTTGAGGCCTAAAAGATTGAATGATTTGACTTCCTGGATTTTGGTTTGGTTTAGTGTTATTGTAATATTTTTTGGTTTTGTTTGGCAAGTGTGAAATTGCATGATGTTAGTTTTAATTGAATTTATTTGTAGATTATGCTCTGACAGCCAGTCGTTAATTTTTTGTATTGTATTATTAATGTCCAAATTGTAATTTATGTCATTTTTGAATTTAAATAAGATTGTTATATCATCCGCAAAGAGAGTACAATGTTTGTCTATGATATTAGGTAGGTCATTTATATAAATTAAAAATAATACACATCCTAATATTGTACCCTGGGGTATAGAGCCTCTTAGCACACCTTCTTTTGATCGAATATTTTTTAATATTCGATTTTTGTCATCGTAGAACTGAGTTTGAACGTATTGAACTCTATTTTGAAGGTAAGATTTAAACCAAGAGTGCACTATCCCTCGGATTCCACATCCGTATAATTTGTCCAATAATATTTTATGCGAAATTTTGTCGTATGCTTTTGTAAGGTCTAATAATAATGCAAATGTTCGAAACTTGTTATTGACACTTTCTAATATTTCTTCGGTTAGGTTGTACACAGCTAAAGTTGTCGATCTGTTTTGGCGGAAGCCATATTGGCTGTCCGAAAAAACATTGTTTTTCTCTAGAAATTTATTCAACCGCGAGTACATGGCCTTTTCAAAAACCTTCGAAAAACATGAAAGTAGAGATATAGGACGGTAGTTGTTAGGGTTCAGTTTGTCTCCTTTTTTGTGAATTGGTTTGATTACCGTTATCTTTAAGGCGTCTGGAAATCTACCTTCGTTGAAGGATTGGTTTATAAGTCCGGCCAGAACTGGTGCTAATTCTCTCTCACAAGCCTTCAATAAACTAGCTGGTATCTCATCATCACCAAAGCTATTTTTATTTTTTAGCCCTTTAATAATTAAAGACACCTCACGTTCCGAGACAGGTTCCAAAAACATTGATCTAGTAAGTGGTTCGAGTACAGGGCGACCCCGCGCTTCGCCGTTAATTTCTGCGTTATTAGTTCTAGAGTCATACACGTTTAAAAAGTGTTCATTAAAAAAGTTGGCTACTTGTTTCGGGCAGTCTATAATTTGCGGTTCCTTTCTAGAGTTAGTGCAGGTATTTAGACATAGCTTTAGGTTCCTTCTAATATTTTGTGTATTTTTTCCTACGGTATTATTTATTATTTGCCACATTGTTTTTTGCTTATTACTTGATTTTTTCATTTTATTTACATTATTTATTTTCTTTGACTTAAATACGCATTTTTTAAGTATTTTTCCAAAGGTTTTATAATATTTTTTCAGAGTTTTATTTTGCTTTGATTCGATCAAAAGTATTTTTAGAATTCTTTTGTGCATGCAGGCTATTTTTAAGCCTTTTGTGATCCAGGTATTTTTATGAGGTTTTATAATTTTCCGTTTTATAGGTATTTTGCTATTTAGGGTAATGTTAATATATTTATTAAATTCATTATAATTTTGATTAATGTCATTTGTATGAATTAAAATTTTATTCCAATCAATTAGGCGTAATTCCTGTTTGAAGTTTTCAATATTCTCGTCATTATAGATTCTTTTATAGGTTATGTAGCTCTTGTTAAAGTTTTGGTTTAAGTTTTCCGATTTTACTTCAAAATTAGCACAGAATATGATGCTCTTGTGATCCGAAAAACCGTGGTCTTTTACCTGAGTTTCATGGTTTTTTATATTGGTGAACACAAGATCAATGCATTTGGAAGAGTGAGATGTAACTCGGGTAGCTTGATTAACAGTTTGACTAAGATTATAAGACTTCATTAGATCAGTCAAGCGGCGCGATTTACTTGGGTTTAACGCGTCGATATTGAAATCACCTCCAATCACGATACTGTTTTTGGTTTCCTTAAGTTTAATTTTGTGTAGGAGTTTGCCTAAGTGTTTGTAAAAAGTCTCAATCTTACGGTCCGGTCTATACACACAAATTAAAACAATATGTAATTTAACCAATTCAATAATACAACATTCAAAGATAAATTCTTTAGATAATTTTTGTAGGTCTTCTCGCTCTATATATTCAATGTGGTCTTTTATCAAGATAGTTATTCCTCCATGTATGTGTTCAGCTCTACAGTAGTTACTTGCAATAGTATAACCTGGTATTTTTATAGTATTTGGTACATGTGTTAGCCAGGTCTCTGTCAAACATACTGCGTCGAAGTTATGCTCGTTTAGGAATGTTTCTAATAGGTGAAGTTTACTAGTTAGACTTTGTATATTTTGGAACAGTACTTCTACATTAGTTTTTTTGGTAGTATAGTGTAAACTTGGATTATTCACGAAAAAATTTTGAGTTCTCCTGGCTATGAGGCATAATTATAGAGTTAGCGCTATGTGCTTTGAGAGACGAGCTGTTTGGTGTCTGAGTTACTTCGGCAGCGTGTTTCGCCAGAATAGACTGGGAAGAGCCTATGATTTCCCTCGCCATAGCAAAGCTTACGTCCGGAATGAAATACTTCGTACCTAGTTTTAGTTGTCTAAAGTTCATTTTCAGAAATTTACTATACTGGAAGGCTTCACATTAAATATCCATTAGAAAAATACCTAGAGTAGAGGTATATTTGAAAAACGTAGCCGATGTAATTTTATCAGTCTTGTTCAGTCTCAAGCTATAGTCTCGCCATTTTATCTTCATTAACTTTTAATACTACTTGTTTTACGCCTCACCATCGCAAACTCACCCTATAACGAAAGTTCAAGAAAATGTTTTCCCACGCATTCGAAATTAGGCACCATCAATTTGAACTGTCGAATAAATTACGAAGAGGTTACAATGACCCCTGAGAAGTTCATTCACCAAAAGTTTATCGTAGACGAGGTCACACGATCGATGTC